CACTGGAAACTGGGGAGCGTGGTGATGGGTGAGGGGAGGATGACGTGCACAAGGCAAGTGTGCTGTGAAATAGGTCCACAGCAGGAAAACTTCACTGCTAGCACTGGCCAGTTAAATGTAGCTGTGTGTAGGTCTGTATGGTCACTTTTCCTCTGAGCCTTTTCTTGAAGCAAGATGTGGTGGGGAAGGGAAAGGGTGCTGCCACTGCACCCTTCTTTCAGTGGGAGTGTATCCACATCCTCCACATGTGTGCATAATGCAAAAGCAACTGGTAATGAAAGAGAAAAAGCCAAGAGCAGCGTGAGAGCCTGTGTGCAGGAGATGTGGAGGAAGTGGCCTGTGCCGAGCGGCAATTTAGTTTCCCCTTATTACTCAGTGGGTACCCTGAGCTGATTTAATGCTCTTTGCTAAACATGGTATCACTGAACATAAATGGGAGACCTCTACTGAACACAGACCAACTAAAGCCAGACAGAAAAGAAACCAGAATAAAACAGGCTGCCAAGGGAAGTGCTAAACATGGATCCCATTTTTAAACTTGGATAGCAGCTGAGTCCGTATTAAACACCTAATTAGCCACTGCAGGCTCTGGGTTGAAATTTGGCTTCTCATTACTTTTTACACATACATTGCTCCATCATGCTAGAGAGACTACTGCTGGTGACAGCAACATGGAAATGAGTGGTAAAATCAGCTTCGTGTGGGGAGGGGGGGATAAATAAATAAATAAATGGAAATCAGTAAGCCACAAGGCACTCACTCACTCCAGAATTGAAGACTTAGTTATTTTGTTTTGGCAGAAATGCAAAACAATCACTTTCTCTTCTCCTCCCTAATTTTTGTAATGACAACTCAAACTTCTCAGTCTATGTTGCAAGAAATATTAAGCTAAAAGCAAGAATTTCTGCTAAAAATTAATTGAACAGAAAATGCATAGCCTGCCTTATCCCGATCCTTTATTCATCAGTATAGAATCAATGAAACATTCTTTTAAAAGGAAGAAGAAGATCTTGTATATTGCTACTCTCTTGGCCAGATTTCAGAGCAGCTAATTAAATGCCATCTACCTTATCTCCTCCTGTAATTTCCATTTAGTGAATTGTGCATTGCATCAACTCGACAAAATGCTCTTCGGAGACATGCTCCAGAGGAGACTGTTTTCTGTGGTAGGAAGACTGATCAACAGAGAGCCCCACTCAAATGAGTGAGTGGGCATGAACTTCTCCATGCCACCAGTGCCAGGCACACCACTCCTTCCCACTGGACTTCTTCCCACCAAGTCCTTGCACCGCTTTTCCTTGCAGAGGCTGGCCATAACACAGCACGTGCTGTCTGGCTACCAGTCTTGTCCCTGGATGACCACCTAGTTAGGGGGTAGAGTTTCTCTGCTTTAGAGTCTGCCTGCCTTGCTGTGAAGCATCGATACCCTGGTCCAAGTGTCACAGGCACTTCGCATGCACTGGTGTGCCAGCACAGTTTGCTGGTAAGCTGTGTTCTGCTTTGGGCTGGTTGTCCTCTTGTATGCACTTTAATTTCGGAAAGCTCTTAGAGCCTTCAGAAAATGAAAACAATGTGGAAATGCATAATGTCAATATTATTATTTTATTTAGTATACAATTATAGTTTCATTCCGTGTAGAAAATGTACATACAGAGCACAGAGCGCCAAGACAGACTAGATCTAGATGCATAGACTTTCAAGCCAGATAATTCCATGTGTAAGAGGAATACATTTTATGATTTTAAACTGAAAGAGGGTAGACTTAGATTGGACATAAGGAAGAAGTTTTTTACAATGAGGGTGGTCTGACACTGGAACAGGTTGCCCAGGGAACTTGTGGATGCTCCATCATTGGAAGTGTTCAAGGCCAGGCTGGGATGGGGCTCTGAGCAACCTGGTCTAGTGGAAGGTGTCCCTGCTGATGGCAGGGGGGCTACAACTAGATGATCTTTAAAGGTCCCTTCCAACCCAAACCATTCTGTGACTTATGTTCACATGTATGTGCATGAGAGATGCAGTGGTGGTGCAGGTACAGGAGCCTACGTGCTCCTAATTTTCTAATGCATAAAGTCAAGACTGGATGTAATGAAGTAAGTGACCACTTTATTAAAAAAAGTGGTAGTTAAACATGGTAGTTAAACAACATAATTCCAATAAGATGGGAGTCTCACAAACAAAACAGTTGTTCCACAAAAATCCTTGTCAGTTCTGTGTCACGGGTTATTCCTCTGTCTTATGTAGTCCATTGATGTCAGATTCCTGGAAAGCAAAAATCATACACAGAGAAAATGGGAGGAGAGCAGCTAATCATTGCAGGGTTCTGCCAAAAGTGTCTGCTCTGTGTATCCAATTTTGTATTCTTCGTATCTATAGTATGTTATTGAAGTCTGATTCCCCACTGCCTTGCAAATCATTTGCATCTCTGGACTATGATATAAAAGGCTTCCTCACTGATTGGATAGCTTTTTATATCTTCTCAGCACTTGTGTTTCTCTGACATAGATATCTATGCAAAGTACAAAGCTTTTGAGGATCTGACCCTTGTAGTTCATGCTTCGTTGCCACAAGGTAAGTCAAAACAGCACTCTCACAAAATGTGGGAAAGGGAAGTCATGAGGAGCATTCACCATCCTCCTGCCTGGCATCTGAAGGTTACTAAAGGCCAGACTAGACCCAGGCAGAACAAGCCCCCAGCCCTGCTTCCTTGTGAGCCGCTTGCAAGACAAGATCACTCTGATTCAATTCGGGAAGCTTGTCCCATGCTCCAGCTTGTGTTCTCCACTGGTTGGGGAATGGTGGCACCAATGGAGAAGTGCCAGGCTTGGCTGCCAGCTGGCTGCTGGAGGCGGCTTCAGATGAGTGCTTCTTCCCATGGGTGGCATGAGCTCTGTCCTGTGCGGCTGCGCAAGGGAAGCTCATAGCGGCTGAGGATCTGGTCCTTCAAGTTAAAAGGGTTGAAATATGCATGAAGCATAAGGTGACATTTTGAGTGTCTCAGATCGGAGCACGGACGTTACTGAATTTAAAATGTAACTGCAATTTCCTGACTAATTGTTCCCAAGTAGCTTTTATATTCATGCAGTGATTGTTCTTTATTCTTAAAATAGACTATTTCACCCCGAGGTGCAGGTGTTATCTTTATGATGATGGAGCTACATTATCCAGCACATTACAGCTCAGGACATTGGTTGGAGCAAGGGCTATTTATGATCAGCTGTTCTTTTTTATTCTCACTTAATTTAAATAATGCTTTTGTTTGTGATTTGCTTGAACAAGAATACAGCAGGGGAAAAAACGATGGGAAAAAAAGAGCTGCACTGGAGATTCAGTATTGTCTTTTACTTCCTGTAACTGAACTGTACAATTTACCATTGTGCCTCCAAGTTTCTGAGTCCATTCAGACAACACGAACAGTTAAATTGCTTCACTAGCCTTATACTTCTGCAGAGGGTCAGCCTGTTTGCTAGCATCCAGGGCTTTCTGTTGTGAAGTGTTCAGGATATTATAAATAAGGTATTCAGTGAGAATGAGATAACAAAAAGAAATCTGAGACATATTTGCTATTCATTCAAAATAACAACCTTGCACGTAGTAGCAACACAGAAAACTGAACACAGGCTTTTCAGCAGAGTAGGAGCATCCCCAGCCTGGACACTTGCTGCTCTAAGGGTGAGGGTGTAGAGCATGGAGCTGTAGCTGTGGTTGTCACAGAGGCAGAACAACAACTAGGGGGAAGGAGAGAGCTAGGAAGGAGAGATCTGCTCCAGGGTGGATGCCCCTCTATCTCCCTCCACCATGGCCCCTAGCCCCTAGCTCCACATGGGCAGCAGCAGCAAGCAGTGCCTCTTGCCTGGGCTCTGGCAGAGGCAAAGAGGATAAGGACTGAAGCTGTTTGTCTGCCCCCAGGAGCCTGTTGCTTTAGGCTCCTGCCTGCTTTGCCTATGAGCTGTCTGTAATGCCAGGAATTACCTTTAGTTCTGCTAAGCACAAAAAAGGTTAGATGACAGGCTGTGGTAATTACAAGAGTGAATTGCCATGGCACAGGAATTTTTGGAAGTGATGCTTAGGCCCCAGTCGGGTGGAGCATTTTAAGCGACACCTGCTAATTTGCCTGGAACTAGCCTGCTTATTTAAAAAAAACAAAAAACAAAAAAAAAGAAACAACAAACAAAACCCAGACAATAGTGCTGCCTGCATGCAGTGAAACCCAACTAATCAGCAGTTCCTAGAAAGTTTGACTTGAAAGAAAGGCAGATTCAGCATCCATCTGACAGAGGTGCACAGGAGCCTTAGCAGGTAATGTTTTGCCGTAACTCCCAGTATCTGTGTGCCTTTGTCACTCCTCCTGTTTGGCACAGACCCAGCCAGCTGTCTTTGCTCTAAAGGCTGCATGTGCTGTAACTGTGGTTATACTTGCAGCCGCTCTCCTTGCCCCATCTTTTAATCCATCTCTTTAGCTGTGTGTAATCTGGTGTGTCATTGGGCAGGTGCAATGATTGCCTTACTCATCTCTGCTGTCCCCAGCACAGGAGCCTTCATCAGAAACTAGTAGGTCCTGTTGCAATACAAATAAAAATATCCAGGAGTAGTAGGATCAGGCACAGATTTACTGGGTGGGAACAGGGTATGTGTGTGTGGGAAGAGAGCAGTGAGGAAGGGGAGAGTAGTTTGAGGGCCTCTAGGTGATGATATTTTGGAGATTGGTGCCTCAGCATTTCTACTTTATATAGTTTGACGTAGAGATTCTGGCAGATATCGTGTAATTTTATATTAATTTTTTCCCCTGCCGTAAATCAGACTTGGTGTCTGATGGCATAATCACCAGAACTCCAGCAAACAACACGTCTGCCAGCGATAAGCTGTTTCTTCTGCTGACTCAATATACAGTTGTTTGCTTGCTGGATATTGCAAAATGCAATACATTTGATGTTTGTGCAATCCTGTTTTCCTTGTGTTTATTTTTCTGTGCATCTCCCTTTCTCTTTCTCTCTTGTATACAGATGTTCGTATTCACCCCATGGAGCCTATGCCCAAAGCAAACTTGCCCTTGTGTTATTTACCTATCGACTACAGCATCTTCTGACTGCAAATGGAAGCCATGTGACTGCTAATGTAGTAGACCCTGGAGTAGTGAACACTGAGCTCTACAAGCATGTCTTTTGGGTTGTAAAAGTGGCCAAATGGATGACAGCCTGGCTATTTTTCAAGGTATGCAGTTTTTTAAATTGTTTTGTTGCTGTGCCCCTACCTTGTGAGAGCTAGAGTCAGCACAGAGCTGAAGGTGTTTCAGAGTTTATCATAATGTCTGGTATTTATTTCATTTCTCTGTGCTGATGAAATGTACAAAATTGATAAAAACAGGCCTTCCCCAGGAGAAATGCTTATTTTAAATGGAGGGAGTGAGCTCTCACAGTAAAGGAAGGAAATGCCCTTTGCTGTCTGCCCATGTACTGATTATCTCTGCCTTGATCTATCCGTGTGCCTTTGTGCGTGCATGGGGGCAGAACAGCAGCCTAACATGGAGCCAGAATATGCAAAGTGTTCCTCATAAACGTCTTGTACGTCCTCTTAATGAGAAGCAGACATGATCTGGCATGGTCTACATGTATGCACCAGTTTATAGAGAAGAGGGCAAAGGGAAGAAGGAAGCTGTACAAAAATGGTGTTGGGAAGGGGCCATGCTCCAGGCTCTGTGGGTCCAGATACTCGTGCTCTGGGTGGTGGGACAATTTTCATTTAGCTTTTTCATCCTAACACATGCTTGTAACAGTACCTGATTTTCTATTACCTATTCCTGGTCTGCATTAGGAAACTTAAAGCTCTTTGATAAAACCAATCCAGAAGTAGGGCAGACCCAGATACAGTTAACTTCAGTAACATTTTGTAGTGGTGTAAGTAGATCAATCTGAAATCAGTTTAGCTGCGTAGATGCAATCTCCTCATGCGGACAAGCCTTAGGAGGACTTAAGCTGAGAAAATGTACTGCTTATAACTCTTTCAGAAAGTAGTTTTGGATTAAGTGAATGGAACCTGATTCCATTAGAGAAAATTAAATGTCCTAATTAAAATGAAGCATTTTAGATCAAGGGACATGTCCCAGAAAGCAAATTAATTTTAAACTTTGATATGGTAATATCGCTGGCTTTAATTTTAGAAATGAAACTGGAGGCTGGAAGAGTGGCTGTAAAATAAGATGCAAACGAATAAACCCATATTTAAAAAAAATAATAGTATCTTCTGAGTACACCTTGAATATTGCAATAAAATTGTAATAGGAATGCTCATAATATGTAATGCATTCTTGAAGAAACAGAAGGCAGCTTTGCCAGACTGTATATATTAAACTTGTTTTGCCTCTTGTGATTGCTATTTTAAATATCAGTCTCAGGTGATAATGTTTTTTCTTTGTACTTACTTCACCTTGCTAACATAACAGTTTCATGTGTATATTTAGGTTGTGCTCAGCATCTCCTCTAGAACCAAAAAATTCTGAAAAAATTTCTGTGTCTGAGAGTGAGAATTGAGTCTCTTGTTGTTTACAGAACTCAATCCCCTTCAGTTTTATTGGTGTGCCCAGGGAGACATTTTTGTATTATACTGACTATGTTTAGACGCTGAATGGGATGTCCCTGAATACACATAGAATAAGTTTGGATTTATCATGAAAGGGAGTCTTACAGCTCTAATAGTAATGCCGCCAATAGTTCCTGATTACTGCCTATTCTTTGGATGAGATACTGCTCTAAAGGAATTCTGCCTCGGAACTGGTGACGGACAGACATACTGACTTGTGTGGAAGTGGGATGTGTGTAAATGTAAATGCATCAATTGCTTTTTGAGTTAGAAGAACTCCAGGTTTGGAGAGCTAAATGCTTCAGTTATGGGGGTTGAGATTCTCACATTTTTATATAACATTTGATGCATTTTTCCTTGTCCTGGTTTTTAGCTAAAATAGAGCTGGGTTTCTTTCCTGTAAGCCAAAGGAAAGGGAAACTCTTACTGTCACTCTTCCTGTCCTCCCTTAGACTTCTGAGTTACAGCTCCAACTTCTACTCTTTGCTTATTGCTTAAGAAATGTTTATGTACTTGGGATTGACTTGTGCCTTCCTTTCTCATGTTCAGGAGCACTTCATCACATAGGTACACCCTGTTCAGCTGCTGCAGAACTACATCACAAAGTGATGTTTAGCTCCATGGCAAGCTCACATTGAACGCTTGCCTGGTGATTTCAGTAGCACTGCACTGAGTGCCATAGTATCCAGCATTCAAGCCTGGGTGGGTCTTGTATTGGTCTCATGCACTAGGGTAAATTTCCCCTGAGAAAAGTAAGAAAGCAAGTACAAGAAAATTAATTTATCTGATAATATTAGGTGATAGTTGGTATTATGGATTTCTTCTCCCCTGGAATTTCGTTCCCGAGTGCATGTATATGAATCTTCCTTTTGGGATTATGGCAGTAGTGCAGTGAAAATGAGGTGATAACTCTCTAATCATATTGGCTCAACTAACTTATATCACCCTGAAGTATTCCAAAGCAATTTCTAAATGCATGCAGGAAATTGCTTCACCCACTGCAACCTGGCAGTTGTGAGAGCCAACACAGCCCAGATAGCTCCAGTGAGGAAATGCATCATGGATTTATCACATCACATTCCCTCAGGAGAGAGTCAACATGCTATTTGATTTAATTCTAAAATATTGTGGCAGAGCCTCCACTACCTTTAAATGCATTTCCACCAGCACTGGTTCCAGTTGCATTCAAGTCAAATACTTCTAGGGGTTGCAGCCTGTCCCTGGCTCTCGCTGGGCTGCTCGTATTTGAGGTGGCTCAGTGTGGCAGACAAGGCTGTTGGCTCAACATCTACCTCAGAGCTGCCTCAAGATGTTTAGATACTTAAGCAAATAAACCTACAGTCTCATAAACAGGCCATGGTAGGTACATATAATTTTCTCAAAGTACTAACAGCTTGAGTCTCTCAGAACTGTGAAACATTGTCTTCTGGTCTTCATACACAGCTAAGTAAAAATTTCTGCCAAATCAGTTTGTTGGTTTTTTTTTTTTTCCCCTAACAAACTGCAGTGAGAGGCAGCCCTGTAGAAGTAAGATAGGCCAAGCAAAAGGAGCCAGTGACAGTCACAAAAATTGTGAAACAAATGCCTGCCCTTTAAAAGTGATGGTTTCATTCTTTCTCAGCTTGATTCTGTCTCAGGAATGTTATTCTCTGCTGTGATACTTGTTCTTTAAATTTCTGTTCTGAAAATATTTTCTCTACATTTTTAATAAACAGGGATTGCACTTGTCATATGCAAGGCAGAAATTATGTTTATTCGTCAAACAAATAAATTGATTTATACCCCTATGACTTATTAGTAAATAGAAGCTGACTAGCTGTCACAGTTCTCTGCAGAGTGTGGTGAAATATGTTATCCCTTAGGAGTTTCTAACATAAAGTGATCTTCTTTTTGAAGACATAAAGTCCAAACTAGTAAACAATAGCTAATTAATAAGATAATAATAGCCTAAAAAGACATTGGCTGGGCATCAAATTGCAATTTAGCCAACTGTGCAACATACCAGTTTTAGTGATGGGTGCTGTCCAAGCTGGAAGTTCGGAAGGTAGTTTCCCTCTCAAGTATTTCTGCTCCTGCTATAGATACTGAATGTTTATTCTTAAGCCAGATGGCCTCTTCTCATGATAAAATTAAAATGCCTCAGAGCAAAAATATGCTGACTCTCATTAATGTCCAATGGCAGGGGCTGTTCTGCTTCATACAACTTCATTATGCCATCAAAGTAGAGAAATTTCCCACATATCAGCGCTGTAAACTTCCCCAAAACCTTCTTTATGACAAGCTAGGTGAATGTGTCATTAGCAGATAGAGAGTATTCGGGCCTTTCAGCCATCTCAGATTGGTATTTAGGGAGGCACTGTGGAAGGAAGAGTGCACATCAAATCTCGTCTCAGCTGTCATTTCCAAAGACATAGTTCCATGTAAGTGATTATTGACTGACAAACTGAAAATGAGTAGGATTAGTGACCCTGCCAGCCTGTAAAAGTGAAGGGAAAGGCTTCAGGAATACAGGCTAGAAATCAGCCAGTATAAACTAATTGATTTATTTAATTTGTCAAAATTGGTTTAATTTTAGCATAATTTTCCTGTAACATTTTTTAAAAAAACCCCTTTCCAATCTGTAAGTGCTGCTAGAAAACAAGATCTAAAGAACCTGGATTCATCATTTGTGCCAGAGGACATAGTCATGCAGGTCTTATTGCAGCATTTCTTATTCAAACTGACCCTTTGCCACTGTGAATGTAGAAAACATATTTCGTCCTCCCCTCTGAAGTGTCAGAAGACAAAGACATTGCCACACAATAACGTCAGCTGTACAGAATAAGAATAATTAAATTCTACAGCTGAAAGCAGCCATTCATCAGCATCAACATCTTTGGTCCATGTAAGCGTGTGGTCCTCACATAAAGCTAGTCTGGAATTGTCTCACAAAATTAAAACTCCTTGCAGAAACATGTCATTTGCAGTTAATTTTTACAAAAGGCTTTTCAGTTCCAAAGTGGGATTCTGGTCAAAATCAGAGAGAAGGAAACAGTCTACTTTATCCCAGTAATTCTCATCTTTATAAATAGGTCCCATTTTTGCACACATTGGTACAGGGTTGTAAGGTTCTTGGGTGTGAATCCCTGCACTTGGGTAGGCACTGAGGTTCTGCCTGTTATGGAGGATGTGGATTCAGCTTGTCTACTTTATTTATTTTAGCTGCTAAATAAGAAGGCTTTGGAGCATGGAGTGTTTTGTGTCTGTCCTGATTAGGCTTAGACCCCTCTAAAGAAGGCTGACTCAAAGTGCACACCTACATAGCATGAGGACCCTGGTCTCCACTGAACCTGTCATTCCCTGCGGTCTCAAGGTATTCTCATGTGTGTTTTCTCGGATCTAAAAAGTTTATTTTAAGAGACATAATGAGAGTTACTGGAGAGTGTTTTCATGGCAGGAAAGTGAAAGATTTGTGTTGCATGTCTTGATGTATGGCATACAAAGTGGTAGGATGCTGTACAGGACAGCACAAAACTGGTAAGATTGTGTTGGAGTGCCTCAGAGGGAGTCAATTCTGTTGAAGTTCTTGTTTACAACTCTTATTTGGAGCAGCTGCTGGTATGATCTGTCCTCAAACCACACCCAGGCTTCTTCTT